GGTAGCGACTACGTAGATCTGTGTCTTCTTTATGTTTTCTATTTTTTATTCGATCATTAACCCTAATTCGTCATAGAAAAATACTTAGAGATTAAACGTAATTGTCACCATGAAGTATGACCATATTTATAGAGGATAGGGGATGGCGAATAAGCAATTGAAATCATTAGGTGAAAGTAGTTGGGATGATGTTGATAGGTTGTTTCAACTGTTAGGTAGTTAGACAATTAAGTTGTATAGTCAGTTGGAACGGCCATAACACTCTACTTGCTTGCTTCTTGGTCCGGAACACATGGGCATGTATCCTTCTCATTGCTTGCGTAGAAGGAGGGCATCAGCGTCGCTCGAACGGAGTAAGCTTTCATTGCTTACAGGGATAGAATGGTTGCACCGCTGGAAATAGAAATGTTCCCTGGCCCTGTAGAAATTTTTGGCCGCTGATCTTGGGTACGAGCGGAAATTTCATCGCATGTCACAAAATGTGTTTGCCCCTATTTCGTTTTGCTTGGATTGATCTAATCTAGGCAAGAATTTCATTGGAGCGGGACTAAAAAGTTAGTAAATCTTAACTAAAGATAATTTGATCATACCAAGTGAAATTAATAAATAAAGTATGGCATAAATCGAATATGGTATGTCTATAGTAAATCTTAACTAAAGATAATTTGATCATACCAAGTGAAATTAATAAATAAAGTATGGCATAAATCGAATATGGTATGTCTACCCGGTTTTACTTTATGAAACAACGCTCTGAACTTGCATTTTTATATTGTATTTGACAATATGATACAGACCGAGTTTTCTTATATTATCCAAAACTTTCATATTGTTAATGCCTTAGAGAATAATGACTTTGTGTTGTTCAATTTTTTTTGTCCGGGGTGTTTTTGTTCAGTGATCTTGCACAAATATATCCCAACAAAATGGTCGGACTGAGCATAAGGGTCATCACATCCTCAATAATGTTCATGAACTCCTTCTATCCCCATCTTGTCCAGATCAATTTCGTAGATAAGCCACTATTCCTTCTATCCACACAATAAATAACTTATCTTATTCTATTCTTCACGGTGTAACTCTTTTTGAGAAACTTTTCCGTTGGTCCTCGATTACTCTCTTCTTCGTCCATTAGATTAGATTGTGTTTGTTTTGTGCTCTTCCCACCTCATGAATACAATAATTTAGAAGGATGGGTTGTTTGTGTTTCTTCTTACGTTATGGGGTAGAGAATAATGGTTATTGATATTGGAATCCTGTGTATAAATGTCTTTGTATCTCTTATCATGTCACACTAATAAAACCTCAGATGTTGCCATCGATGTTCAAATTTAATATCCTATCTCACTATTCATCTTCGTTACTTACTCATGATCCCTCTGTATTATTTTTTAATGTTGCATGTCTTGAACTCACATCTACTGCTCTCGGCACAGTCCCATTATCTCACCCCCTTTAGCAGACTCCCCTACACTTCCTAAACCGGTGCCAAATCCTCCTCCTAATGTCTCTTTTACTACTACCCACCACTCTACTTATGTAAGTCAGCCTTCCCTTCACCTATGTGATTATCATATCGTCTCAGCATAAACTCATGTCATTTTGGATGGCAAATACTGACTCTTTGTACATCAAGCTTTTTCGGGGGAACTACTGGCCCTAGAGAAGACATGCACTTGGGATCTTGTTTTTTGGGTGAAAGTGCGTCTACAAGATTAAGACCAACTCCGATCACTAGTAACGAAGGATTATTGTTAAGAATATAGCTAAAAATGTTGACTTGTAACGAAGGATTATTGTTAAGAATATGGTATTGGCTATGAATAGAGATTTGCTCCGGTCACTGGATTTACGTATATTCGGTATCTACCTGCAATTGTTGTCATTTTTTGCTAGCAACTCCATCCGTTGAATCTACAAAATACTTTTTTACATGGAGATTTGATCGAGGATTTCTACATAGGCTCACTTCCGGGTATTGAGATTTTCAGTAAGTTATATAAATTACGTTGGGCTCTCTATGATTTGGGACAAGCACTTCGCGCTTGGTTTGCTACATTTAGTTCTGCCCTTACTCAGTATGGCTTCTCTCCTAGTACTTATGACTCGACTTTATTTATTTGTTGAAAGTTCTCTGAGATTATTATTCTGTTATTTTACGTTGATGATATGATCATCAATGATGATGACATTTATGTTATTTATAATTTTCCAGCCTATCTTTTTTAGAACTTCGAGATAAAGAGTCTTGGTCATCTTCGATACATTTTAGGATTTAAGATTTGCAACACTACTAATGGCTTCATTTTGACTCAGACCAAGTACGCATCTGATCTTATCTTCCGTGTTGGCCTAACTGATAGCAAGATTACCTCCGCACATCTTCTTCGATATCATATATATGTTTGTAACCATGGATTATACTTTCTTATTTACTATTTTTTAAACACAAGTATTTGTAAATAATTTGTTCATTAACTAATTTAAGACCTTCAGTTATGCAATATATTACTATATATTACTTCATTTGTCCTAGAGAATTTAGGTAAAGTATGATTAGTAAGTAATTAAGAAGTTTATTAGTAAAAATAATTATTGTATAGTAAAAATAATATAGATTAAGATTAAGATAACTAAATAGTTTAATTATGATTAAAAAATTATAAAATTTAAAATGTGATTAAAATGTATAATTATATTTCCAAAAAAAGGAAAGACAAGTTATGTGAGACGGACAAAAATAGAAAATATAAACAAATTACGTGGGACAGAGTACTACATATATATATATATTTTATTTTGGTTACCTATTATTATCATTTTGTGTATTCAATATTTTGCTTCATTAAAATTCTGTTGTTGAACATATAGTTGTTGACTAAGATATTAAACTTAATTTGTTGGCTGTGGTGCAGGAGATTAATAGAAGTTAAGCTAATTAAGATAAGATAAGTTAACCTGAGTAATAGTAGTGATATAATCCATTTTGAAATTGATCAAAATTTTGTGTTATTGAAGTTTTAGGCTTAATTAGAGCCTGAACGTCACTATTTATTTTTTTCGTGCCGGATTTGGATTGAATTTTCCGGCCGTCTCTATCTTTATCAACTCTATTATCAATATCAATATACCAACTGTAGTTATAGGGGATGCACATGTGTGTATAGATAGACATGTATACGTATAATTCCTAAAAGCTCTGATACACGCGCGGAAGGATCGACATTTGGTTACGAGAGGAAATTCGAAACAAACAGCGTAACAAAAACCCTGCATTAGGGAGCGTTGACCGACAATAATAGTTACGAAAAATGGCGTGGCAAAAAACATTCGTTACGCGAGTATACATTACGGAAAAAAATCGTAACGAAGGCGTAGCAAATACGCAAATTGCACGAAAAATGATTTTTTGTTACGATTTTTTGGCCGTAGTAGAAAACAGTTTTTTTAGTAGTATGTGTGTATGTTATATTATATATATATATCTATATACACAAGTGAGATGATACAAAATATACACAAGTGAGATGATACACCGTGAGGAGGAAATATTAGATTCGGTACTATAGCCATAGATACAATATGGTACTAATGGCCTAAAAATATCTATACTAACATATCTATATATATAATTTATGAAGCCAGCACGGTGCTGGCTAATTTTTTTTTTTTTTTTAGTGTTTAAATTTTATATTTTTATACTTTAGATTTTATTGACATTTTATAAAATAATTTATATATTTTTTCTTCTTTTATCCATAGTATATTTATAAAATTTTAATACACACTGGGTAAACTCCCGGCGGGTCTAGGAAAGTCACACTACGCTGACCATGTGTGGCAGGTGACCTGAGGCGTCGGGGGTTTGAACCCACGTAAGGAACTATAGTATATTTTATCTTGTCCATACATATAGTTGTTAATGATGAAAAATCATTTGCTATACCAAAAATTGAATTATTGTTTTCATGATGTTTAAATTGTTCTGAGCTTTAAAATGTATCGAACAATCATTGCTTTGTTAGTGTGTAAATTTTACTTTCTTGGTGTTCTAGACTATGTTCAACTTAAAATTTTATTTTCTTTCTTGTCCAAAAATTGACTTTTTAATGTTTTATTTGTACTTTTTGACAACTTGAAATTTGATGATGCTTATCAGCGGCTAAACCCTTATTCATTAAAACTATAATAAATTATAGGTAAACTGTTTTTTTAAGTCCCATGACTGGATCCCTTATCATTTGTTCTAGTCCTTCGACGCCGGAGATGTCCGCGTGGCTCGCCGGAGGTGACGTGTCCGCCGGGTGTCCCGCCAGGTCAACGACACCTGGCGGACACGTGGATTTTTTTTTTTTTCATTTTTCTTAAAACTTATTTTTAATTTTATTTGCATCTTTTTATTTTTTTTATTTGGTCCAAATAAAAAAAATTAAAAAAATTAAAAAAATGAAAAAAAATAATAAATCCACGTGTCCGCCAGGTGTCGCTGACCTGGCGGACACGTCACCTCGGCGAGCCACGCGGGCGTCTCCGGCGTCGGAGGACTAAAACAGCAAAAGTTTTTCACTTATGGGACTAGTTTGCGACAGCTCCATTTACGAGACTAAAATGATAAGGGTCCAGTAAAAAACAGTTTACCCTAAATTATATTATTATTATTATTATTATGTAATTTAAATACAAAGAAATTAGGAATGAATCTTCTATATAAAAGTCAGACTCTGAAAAGGTACGTACCTGACCTTAAATATTCAGGCCAATCAATTTATGGAGTTCTACAGACTACAAGTATGGTAAAGTCAGAAATCTATCATTTTCGAAAAGTCAGAAGTCTGCCATCGGTTTCCCATTTTATCGAATAACTGCATCATTGTAGAAAAGAACAGCATTGACTCTAAACAAACAATGATCATCTTCTCACATTATAATCATATACAGCCAGATCTGAAAAATTCTCACCTACTTTTCCTGTAAAAAAAAACATAACCAACGGTTCGAAGATGGCTGTTGCTGCTTATGCATCCTTGGTTTCACTTTCCAACATCCTCGAAAATCTTCACAATCGTGCCGAAGCTCATCTCCCAAGTGTGGACATGGAGCAAATTGAAATGCTTGAGAAAAATATCCACATCTTGGTAAAGTTTGTTGAGCTTCATGCAGAAAGAAATATCGAAATGTTAGGAGGGTTGTGGAGGCAAATAGCAAAGGCTGCGTTTGAAGCAGAAGCTACAATCAACTTCCATGTAGTCAATCAACTTCAATTGAGATCTCAAGAAGGAACAAGTGACACAGGCTTCTCGGCCTTCTGCGAAGATATGGCGAGATTGATCCGAAAGTTCTGTTCTATCAATGAAGAGATGCCAATAATCGAAGAGGAAGGCGAGGATCCTCAGGCTGGAAAGCAACCAAGTACTTATGTCCCTACTGCCGGTTCGATTACTACTTCAAGCATCACTAATGTCCCAATTGGAATTTTCGAGCACGTGGATAAGATCTGGGGAGATCTGGTAAATAGCAATTCAAAGCGCAAAATCCTCCCAATTGTTGGCATGGGCGGGATTGGTAAGACAACTCTTGCTAGAACATTATTTGATGATTCATTTATTGATGATCACTTTGATATACGTATTTGGCTTTCAATATCTCAAGTATATAGTATTGATCGAATCCTTAAAGTTGCTCTTCAAGAGGAGGGGGGCAGCCAAGGAACATGTGAAAGTTCTAATGAGTTGGAAGTTAGATTGTACCAAAGATTATTTGACAGAAGGTATTTGATTGTTTTGGACGATGTATGGACAAGGGAAGTTTGGGATGACCTACAAAGGTGCATTCCCGACAATGAGAATGGAAGTTGTGTTTTGTTGACCACTAGACTATCCGACATAGCGATGTCATTGAGCTCAAATGATCCTTACAAGATGACCTTTTTAGATGACGATAAAAGTTGGGCTTTATTTTGTCAATACGCCTTCGCTCAAATAGGTTGTCCTTATGAAAATTTGAAGAAATTTGCAAAGGATGTCGTAAAAAGTTGTAGAGGTCTTCCCTTAGAAATTGTTTCTGTTGGTGGTTTACTTGCAAATTCCGACATGACGCCAACCTATTGGGAAAACATTGTGAAAAAAATTTACTCTCTTTCGGATTTGGGACATGAAGAGCATTGTTTGAGAATACTATCTTTGAGTTACAAAAGCTTGCCCATTCATCTCAAACCGTGCTTTTTATATATGAGAGCTTTCCCTGAAGACGATCAAATTAATGTAGGCAGTCTAATCGACTTCTGGATTGCTGAGGGATTCATAAAATCTATGAGTCCAAAAACCTTGGAAGAGACTGGGAGAGAGTTTGTAAAATGTCTTATTGATAGAAATCTAATATTTATGAGGAATGCAGAAACATGTGGTATTCATGATCTTTTACGGGACCTGTGTGTAAGAGAATCAAATGACGAACAATTCATTCGGTCTCCAAGAGTGCAATATGTTAGGTCGGGTTTTAGAGTCGACACTTGCTGCTTCCTTTGTAGTAAAGAAATAAACGACAGAGAAAGAGCATGTCTTCCATCACTGGTTCAGAATATTCCATCATCCTCGAAAGTCAGTCCTTCTGTTTGCGATGATTGCAAACCGATGTATTCACATGTTACAAGAACATGTTTGCTGAGGACAGTCGATAACGTTGAAAGCTTGTACGAAGATGGCTTTTGCAAAGAAATATTACAGCCAACAGAACTGAGGTATGCTTCTATCAGTCTTTCGTACCATGGGAAATTTGCATCTCCTTCAGTTCTGCACTTACTTTGGAATCTTCAAACTCTAATAATCGATGGAATCCATTCTCCATCTTTTGTTTTACCACGGGAGCTTTGGAAAATGCCACAACTTAGACATATAAGAAGTAAGTGTGGGGCTACCTTACCGGATCCGGAGGAAGACTTCCTTGTCCTAAACAACCTTCAGACGCTGTCCATTATACTAAACTTCAAGTGGAAGAAGGAAACCATTGCAAGAATCCCAAATTTGAAGAAACTCAGTATAAGGGGGGAGATGACACATTCAAAAGATTCTGTGTGTAATCTGCGGGAGCTGCACGAGCTAAAAAATCTTGAATCACTTTCAGTAGCTTATTGCTTCGAGCAAATCAGCTTCCCAAGTTCACTCAAAGAAGTGTTTTTGTTGCAATGCAAAATGGAGTGGAAAGATGTGTCGGCAATTGGTACATTGCCTTGTCTTGAAACGCTTACGCTATTTTTTGGCGTGGAAGGATCAGAGTGGAACCCGGTTGAAGGTGAATTTAGTGTATTAAAACAGCTTTTCATCGGATATATGAATTTAGTACAATGGAATGCTGAATCTATCCATTTTCCAAAACTTGAGAGGCTTCGACTTTGCGACTTAGATTTTTTGGAGGAGATTCCAGCTGTGATTGGAGATATTTCAACACTACAAACAATCCAGTTGTCTCGATGCTGTGATTCTGTCATTGAGTCAGCAAAGCAGCTGTGGGAGGATCAACAGGAGTATGGAAGTGATGTTAGAATTGAAGTCACTGACAAAAATGGAGTCTCCTATCGAATTGGGAGTTCCATTGCAAGAACCTCGGCGACTGCTTGTGTGTGTTTAGCTTATTTAAAACGCATCGGCGACAGACTCCAGGAGATTTCTAAACATGGCGAGTGCTGTCTAAACACGAAACAAATGAAAAGAGTCGAGGAAGACACCATTTTCTTGAGGGACTTTGTTAAAGTTCATCACCTGAGTAAAATCGGAGCAATGGAGAGTCTGGCAAGTAAAATCACTCAGGTCGATTGTGAAGCATTGATTGCGCTCCACATTGTATGCTCGAAATGTTCACCGCCTAATAACCTCTACGAAGAAGTGGACACACTGTTAGAAAAGATGGACTACATAAAAAAGACATTATCGGCGTCCAAAGAGGAAAGCGACAAAGATGGTGAAGGCGGATATGAAACTTTTCAAGCTGATGCTACTGATATCGACTCTTTAACAATCATAGATGAAAGCGTACCGATCATATCGGTTACTGATAATGATTTGAGAGAAATTCAAATGGAAAGTGCCACAGGGATACTAACTGGCCATGCTAAGGTTTCTTTGATATTTTTGTCTCGTACAAAGGAGCTCCTCCAAGTGGCTGCTGAACTCGGACGCCGTCATTTAAACGTAAAGCAAATGGAAACTGTTGATGAGGCCATCCATTTCTTGCGCGATTATGTTGAAGTTCATCCTGAATTGAAAAGCCGGGAACTTGAACGCTTATCTGTGGAAATTGATGATATCTTCCGCGACGCGGAGTATATGAATTCAAGGCATTTGTCGCAACATTCCCTGGAAAATTTAAGCGCCGAAAAGCTGTCGTCATTCTCTGAAGATGTTGGAAAAGTAGTGAGAAAGGCAGAGTTCATGAAGAAGAAGCTTTTGATGGATAAAGATGAAGGTAAAGGAGAAGAAGAAGGACAAGGAGTTCTCCAAGATGGAAACCCAAGACTTGAATCCTAAAAAGGTATTTCTGAACACCACATTTATTTTTACATCCTTTGTTGTTTCTTGAAATGTACATTATATCTGTCTCCCGTTGCTAATTATTATGTGTTTCTTTGTCAAGGAAGTGTTTACTGAGGGTGAACACAACACTGGATGAAAGGATGAAAGTATGTATATTAGCTATGTAAGAAATCTGTTTCAAAATCTGATTCATGTGGATGTGTTTCTTTGGGTTTGGTTTCAGATAATTTGATTTGAATTTTGCATTAAAATGGTATTTGATGGAATTCTTTTTTTAGAAAAAAAAAAATTTCGAAAATTTTGAGAGATTTGTGTTAGAGAAATACATCCAATGTAAAACAATTGTTGTTAGTAAGATGCACAAACTGTGATGTGGGAGTCTTGAACCTAATACCGAATTACATATGGTAGGTAAGACCTGAAGGAGTCGGGACTTTGAATACCACTTCTTTTACCGGAACATACTTTGTATTCTTTTTCTTTTCTTTTTTTTTTTTTTTTTTTTTTTTATAATGTGGGAACCTGCAGCCGCTAGCTACCCGAAAGTGCACGGTAAACCCCCTGCCGAATCTAATACCCTGAAAACTAAGTCCGATAAAACAAGTCACACTAGGGGAACCATACGTGGCATGTTGAGGCGTCGCGGTTTCAACACATGACCTCACGGTCATAAGTTCACTCCCCACACCACCAGGTCATCCCCTACCGAACAACATACTGTGTATTCTTAAAATAGGTTGCGATGGTTGTATAATAACAGTAAAAAAATAAAACCAAGCTCCAAATAAATAGAGCTTTTAATTAATTTTGTTGGTTGATGATGAAAGACAATGAACGTACTAAGTTCGCCGGTATTACTGATTTAGTATGTTCCATTAGATCAAATTATGGTTTACTTTTAACGATGTTGCTACCTTTTTGTGTTTAGCTAAATTCAGCACCATTCTTATGCCTTAAAATTTAGTGATTTTAATTTATTTAATTATATAAGTATAATTAATATAATTATATGTAATTATTTTTAAGACATAACCAATTCAGCACCGTAACTCAATACTTTTTTTGGTTAACATATAAATTAGTTGGATAATAATATGACTACTTCATCGCTTAAAGTAGTTAACAAATTTTTTTGTTGAACTAATAATATATTACATTGAAAATTGTTTTAGAATTTAAAATATAATAAAGTTATTATATATATGTAGCCATTAAAAATTAAGTATTTAAATTAAATTAAATATCATGTATTTTGGAAGAAAATAAAATTCAATAAAATAAATATACGAATATTTAATTATGCATGTATGTTAATTTTGTACAATATATATCAACCATTAATGCAAAAATTTGCTTAAAATAGAAGATATCATGCAAATATTACGTGCATAAATAGAACATAATAAATTTGGCAGCAAAATAAATTAGTTTTGTCAATAAATGAAGTATATAAATTAATATCTTCCGAAAAAGATAATGATATAAAGATCTTTGCGAGAAAGGAAGGTGCACAATCAAATCCGTCAAGAATGGAAAACGAGCATCCGATGGAAAATGAAAGATTATAAAATCTTCCTATGGGTCAATCAGGACGCGCCACGTGACATCATTCTAAAAGAAAGCCGAGGCCACCCCTCCCCTATAAATAGAAGCCATGAACAATTCATTTGATACACCGAAGTTACATTGAAGATTCAAGTAAAGGGGTAAGTCTCTGTACTCTCTCTGTATTGTTTTTCATGTTCTCCGTGCCCTTAAATCGTTCTTCATCGAAAGTCATTGATTTGGACAAACGATCCAATATTAGTTGACGAATCGATGGAGTTAACATTCTTTGTCGTATGCCCAAGCCGAAGGAAGGATCATAGCTCCAAAAGTCGTTGAAGGATCCATCAAAGCCAAGGAAAAGCCTCCCAAGTTCATCCCAAAGCTTCAAGGTGTTCGTCGCGTTATTCGTCAAAAGCATCAACCAGGCTCTCTTCGATCCAAAAGTCAAACGGACACGCTGCCAAAAGTGTTATGGAGCACCAAATCCACCTCATCAAAGATCAAAGCCTCGGATCGTCTGAAGAAGACATCAAATCCAAATTCGACGATCAAATCGCCCACACGGAGACCAAAGCTCTCCAAAAGGCGGCAAAGCCAAACAAAAAATCAAAGCCGCGGAAGAAGATATCAAATCTAAAGCTAATGATCAAATCGCCCAAAAGGCGGCAAAACCAAAACAAATATCAAAGCCTCGGATTGTCCAAAAAAGACATCAAATTCAAAGCTGATGATTAAATCGCCCAAACAGAGACCAAAGTCCTCCAAAAAGCGGCAAAGGCAAACCAAATATCAAAACTTCAGATCGTCCAAAGAAGACACCAAATCCAAAGCCGACGATCAAATCGCTCCCCATGGAGACCAAAGTCATCCAAAAGCGGCAAAGCCAAAGCAAATATCAAAGCCTCAGATCATCTAAAGAAGACATTAAATCCAAAGTCGATGATCAAATCTCGCCCACACGGAGACCAAAGTTCTCCAAAAAACGACAAAGTCAAACCAAAGATCAAAGCCTCGGATTGTCCAAAGAGGACATCAAATCCAAAGCCTACGATCAAATCGCCCGCACAGAGACCAAAGCCCTCCAAAGTCCGGCAAAGTCAAACTGAAATCTCTTCGGATCAAAGAAGCCATTGAAAACGAAGTTGGCAAACAAATCGACCCGGAAAAAGAATCAAATGACCCACTTAGAGAAAATGGCCTGCTTTAAATCCAAATTAAATATAATTTGTACAAATTTATATGTTTATATGCTATCAACCAATTAGGTGTGAAACCCTCCGTTCGGTTTGTTCACCACCGTCCTGCTGCTGCGTTCCTTCTTCATTTTCTATGGCAGAACAAGATCCTCCTACCCTTCCCCTCTCTACTATGATTCACATGGTCCCTATCAAATTAACCTCTACCAATTATTTACTCTGGCATGCCCAAATCGAGCCCCTCCTCATCAGTCAAAATTTTTTGTCTCTCGTCGATGGCTCTTCTTCACCGCCTTCCGCCAATATCACCACCGCTGATGGCCAACAACCAAATCCTGCGTACACACATTGGCACTACCGTTATCAACTCTTGAAGTTGTTTCTCATCTCCACACTTACCGAGGACTCGATGGCCCTCGTGATCGGATGCAAAGCATCTAGGGACGTTTGGGAGGCCCTTTCTTACAGTTACAACTCTAAGGCTCGTGAAATCAGCCTTAAAGATGCTCTTTGGTCTGCAAAGCTCGGCAGTCTTACGGTGGCCGAATATGGTCGACACTTTAAATCCCTGTGTGATCAACTTGCGGCTATAGGACGACCAGTTGACGGGTCTGATAAGTCCCACTGGTTTCTGCGGGGTCTCAGCGCAACCTTCTCTAGCTTCACCACCGCCCAGCTTGCTCAAGATCCTCTTCCTGATTTTACAACTCTTTTGGCTCGGGCACAAAGCCATGAACTTTTTCAGCGATCTATTGATGATTCATCCTCCTTGCAGGCTACTGCCTTCTCTGTAATTAACCAAGAACAGAGGCACACTACTACTACCACCAATGGTGGACGAGGTCGATCGTAACAATCGTGGTCGTGGCAGACGTATTGGTGGTGGTCGGGGTCGTCGCAACTTCAGCCAGTGGTGTTACTTTTGTCGAGAAACTGACCATGATGCTTTTGATTGTCCTAAGCGCTTTGATCAATCCTATGATCGCTCCTGCAGGCCGTTCTCCACAGCAAACCTTACTGAAGCCTTCTCGGCTGGATGTTCTCTCTCTGCACCGGCTGTTTCGGACTGGTATTTGGATACCAGGGCATCGGCTCACATTACCTCCGATGTCACCCAGCTTGACACTGCCTCCCCCTATTCTGGAACTGATCGCGTAACTGTTGGTAATGGTGCAAGTCTTCCCATTTCTCATACTGGCTTCTTACATCTTTCTCCGGATCTTAATTTGCATAATGTTCTTGTCGTGCCTGGCATCATTAAAAATTTATTGTCTGTTAGCAAGCTAACTCGAGACATTCCAGTTCAAGTACTTTTCACTGACTCCACATTTCAAATTCAGAAACGGGATACAGGTCAACTCCTCGCGACAGGAAACCATGACCATGGACTTTATCGGCTGGATTCACAAGCTGCTGCCTTTTCTGCGATAATTCATAATAAAAAGGTGCATGCTGGCTTTGAACTATGACATTCTCGTCTTGGCCATGTGGCGCCTTCTGTCATTAGATTATTAAATAAATTGGGACTGGTTTATGTTACTTCTTTATTGCCTACTCCTGGATTATGCAACTCTTGCCAATTAGCTAAAAGTTCCCGGTTACCCTTTACTACAAATGACAGTCGGGCTGCTGCGCTTCTGGACTTGATCCATTGTGATTTATGGGGTCCTGCACCCATCACTTCACTTTATGGTTTTCGATACTATGCTATTTTTGTGGATGATCATTCTCAATTTTCTTGGTTCTACCCTTTACGCACGAAGTCCGAATTTGTTGATGTGTTTTTACGTTTTCAATCCTTTGTTGAAAATCAATTTTCTCGTCGGATTAAAAAGTTTCAGAGTGATGGTGGCACAGAGTTTACAAACCATCGCATACAATCTCACTTTGCAAGACGTGGTATTCATCACCTTATGTCTTGTCCTTACACCTCCTCCCAAAATGGCAGAGCTGAACGTAAACACCAGCATATCACTGAGATGGGCCTTGCTTTGCTCTCTCATTCTTCTGTTCCTTTGCATTTCTGGGTGGAAGCTTTTAGCACGGCTGTTTACACTATTAATCGTCTTCCTACTATCATTCTTGGTGATCGGTCTCCCTTTGAGATTGTTTATGGGCATCCTCCCTCTTATGCTTCCTTTCATATTTTTGGTTGTCGTGTTTATCCTTGTCTCCGGGACTATGCCAAGAATAAGTTTGAACCGCGAAGTCTTCCATGTATTTTTTTTTGGATACAGCACAAGCCATAAAGGTTTTCGATGTTTTGATCCTACCTCCACTCGAATTTTCATCACTCGCCATGCAAAATTCGATGAAACCTACTTTCCATTCTCCAAATCTAGCATCTCCAAACATATCTCTCGTTTATCTATGTCCGATTTTTCAGATGGCCCACCTGTCTTGGTTCCCTTGCCACCGCCACATCATTCACGAGCTAAGCCAT